TTGGTGACCACAGGGCTTTGTGCACAGAAACCCACTACCCTGACATGCTGCTGTGTGTCAAGATGCAAGATTAGGTTATTAAAAATTACCCTAATTAAGAAGATTCTTGAGGTGGGTGCCCAGTTTAGAGCTCTTAGGAAAGCCAGTGTACACAAGCTATTCAGCTGCTAGTTGCATGCAGCTAATATACTTGAATTACATGTAGCTGCTGCTTCCAGCTTGGCTTGCTGTGGCATTTCCTTCCCTCACAATGCTGAGTGAATAATTTATGGGTGAAGTTTGTCTTTCTCTCACATTTATATTTCCTATTTCAAAACTCTTTGAAAAATTTATCAAAATAAGCCTTTTCCTTTAGTTCTTTTCTGAAGAAGCTGTAAGAAAAGTTTCTGCTGCCTAATTGGAGGTTCCCAGAATCAACTTTCTCCTGCACATACACACCAATTTAAAAGTATCTGCTTTGTGAATATTTGCTGTAACCTGACTGCGTTACTCCTTAGAAGCTTTTTGTGCTAATGAATGTTTCTCCCAGGGAAGTTCCCTTTTCAATATTTGTGGAAGACACACAAAGGACAAGGACACAGTTGAAGTATCTTAATTTGCAAATGTATTTGAATATTCATGATGCCTATTTTAATATTCACCCATCTTCTATTTGTGTGAATGAAGCATGTCTGTTTTAAGGTAGAATACATCAGTGGCAATTTGTTTTGTCACCAGAAACATTAATGTTGGGAACAGCTAGTGCAAGATTGGACAAGCAGAAATCCTGCCTGAGTGAGGCCTTAAATAAGCTCATAAATCACAGAAATTGGCTTCCTCCTCCAACTGGAAGTTGAAAATAAGAATACCATGGTCAAATTTACACAGTTTGTGGATATTGGAAAGGCCACCATGACCCTACAGGTGCCACAGCAGCTGGGCTGGGACTGTATGGGATGCTTTGGAAATGTCCTTCCTTTGGTGAATCACTTGTCATCACATGCTACACTTAGCTGACTCATATCCCAAGGTATTTAAAGGAAGGCAAGGATGAAAAGCACTTTGGACCCAGTCAGAAAGGAATTAATCTTCCATTTGAAATCAGTGCTGCTGCAGAGCATTCCCCCTCTTCTCTGCTTGGTGCGCAGCATCCAGCGCTTCTTGCCATTCATCTTGTACCTGTCGACAACTCTTCAAGTTGTCTTATGGGGAAATTTCCTCCTACATGTTATTCGAACATTTTTGTTTTATCCTATCCTGATAAATGATCTTGCCAGCAAAGATTGCTTCTTTTCAGGGCTGGAAAACGCCATTTCTTACCTGATGGCTTATTGGGAATACAATTGGAAAAAACATGATAACATTTTAAAAAAGCATGATGGAATAAAAGGAGAAGAGAGATTTTTATCACCCACCCAGTAGCTGCAGACAGAGAAAGTTCTAATTCTGATTATATCCAGAGTGCACATTTTTTCTTAGTGGACTTGGCGATTAAGTACTTAGCTGAAAAGCATGAGTGTCACGGGCTGCTGGTTTCTCAGGGTCGCTGTACTAGCGAAGTACTAGGAAGATGGGTCCCTCCATCACCTTGTGAATGGTGCGGCCTATGCCCTTCTGTAGAGTGGTGGAGGAGGTGATCTCTGCCCAGCTGTGTGCTTGGTTCCTGTAGAAACAAAAGTCTCCCCATTTATCTCCTCTTTGAAGGCACAGATGTTCTTACCTCTGAGGTTTCCTCACTGGTCCTTGGTCTGTTTTCAGATTGTGTGAACCAGCATGATGATAACCAATACCATTCTGCCTCTGCTGAGGGTTTTAGTGCAGTATCTGTCAAAGCTACTAAAGAAGAGCTATGTTGAGTAGGTGAAGGAGTGGCATTTTGCATATCTGAAGTCCTTTCAGATCCTTTCTAGATCTAAGCATCCTTGTAGTTTAGTATGCTTGAAAATAATGAGAATTGCGTTGAGCAATCCACATGTTTGTGATTAATAACTACTTTCTTGTAGGTGCTCTTGGTCTTCAAGATGTTAGGCAAAGTCAATGAAATTAAGGTACCCCATTGCACAAAAGTTCAAACCCAAGTGGGAGTACCCACAGCAAAATGATTCTGCTCAAATCAACAGCTGTCAAAATTATCTTGGTTTACTACAGTTCTTCTGTGTTTGGGGGCTGTGGGGTGGTAGTGGTGTTGCGGAACTTGTTTTAACTGGTACAAAATCAGCAGTATTAAAGTTAAGCAATTTTTCTGCATACTTTGTCTTCTAAGCAGAATTTCTTGGTTATTTCTATAGCCCTGATTTTGCTATCAACAGAAATACTCAGAGATACCCATTGTGATCTTTTTGTGGAGGTACCATACACACCTCCAAAAAATAACCTACGTTCAGCAGCAGATAATTGATCTGCTTTTTCAAAGTATAAGCTCAAAATCTCAATACCTTGTTTTATTTCTCACTCAATTATGTCAATAATCCCTTAATCTACTGCTTACTTGTTTATTCATGTGCTCATTGAACTGTATTGTGAAGCACCTTCCTGAAGAAGTTATTTTATTACTCGTTGTAATTGTAGGATAGTACCTATATATTGGAGGAAGGAGAAGGAAAAGTTACTTGGCAAGTTTATTTGAACTCATCAGGAAATCAGCATAAAGCACCCTAAGAAGATGTGATTTCCAAAACCAGCTGAGTGCCTCTCCCCCAGAGTCTGCCCAGCTGAAAATGTAACTGGCTACATTGACAACTGAAAACCTCGGAGAGGATCACTACGATGCGATGGGATATTCTACCTGCAGACGTGGACTAGAGAATATACTTCTTACTGTGGCAGACAGTACAGGGGAGGAGATGGCACAGTGTTGTAGCTCTCTAGCTTGGTCCTTTGTGAGTAATATAAATATATAAATGTCTTCTGGTTTTCATATTGGATCCTTAGTGGGGGGAGCTGGGAGAACAGCTTTGCCTCTGAACTGGCTTCGGTAAAATCAGCACATTTACCTTGGACACCATCCTGATTTTCAAAATGTCAGGGGAGAGCAGGAGATCTCTTTATGACTTCTAGGTTGTATTTATTCTTCCTCTCTCTTATTTCAGTTACCTAAACATTTATATAAATCAAAGATTTGTTTTAGCGCAGCAAAGCAAGCTATAGACCAGATACAATATTTCATTTGCTGTTTAGCCCATAACTAACAAAGCAACAATTTCTTTATTAGAGGATAAACTCACATCTAAAAATATGCTGTCAGTGGTGTCAAGAGGAATGTGATAAGCTGCACCATTTCTGGGCATTAATGCTTTCATTTATTTTCAAAGAGTTTGCAGAGCAGCTGACACCTGGCACATAGACCGGCGCCGTTAAATCAGATTGAGTGAATGTCTGAAAGAGTTTTTGGAATAGCTGTGTACTGCCACTGTAAGCCAAAAGAAGAAACATATACCATTAAAATTTTTCTTACAAGAGGCAGTTCACTCTCTCATATGTTGTTTGCATGGCACTTACTCTGGTGAATTTAAGGTACATCCTATTCTGCATAGCACTGAAGCATATCCTTAAGTCTCGCTGAAATATAGAAGAAGACAGAGATTACAAGTCCTTCCTGAGGTGCCGGAACAGAACCCATTAAGGTATTGCAAGTCATGGGATTCAATTGCCCTGAAAGTATAATTTGATTGTAATTCAGGAGGTTACTAAAAGGAAATCCATTCTAGGCTGTTAGATAAGCAAAAGCGAGAAGTGTTTTTACTAGGAGTGGTTAAATGTGAGGTGTGTGAGTCCCTTATCTCTTTTGTTTGCAGTTTATCACCACTGAAGGCAAGTAAAGGGGGAATAATATCTAGTTCACAGGAGAAGATTGGATTAAGCTTTCCCGAAGGTTTTGTGGGAGCTGTTTCCATTTCACTCTTGTCTGGGTTCGCCTAACTGCTTCAGGCTATTTCCAAATCTGCAAAGGAGAAGGTCTTGGTGCATGGCAGGGAGGGGAGGATGGCCAGCGCCTTGTTTTTTTCCTGGCAGAATTTGCCTTTGACTTCTGTAAAGGAATTAGGAGAGCTTTGAAATCCTACCTGAGTGCAGAACTTCTTTTACTGTGGAGCTTTTTCAGATTTCTTTTTGCTGTGTAAGTTTATTGCTTTGTAATGGGTGTCTCTTGTAGGTGTTGATTAGAGTAGTTAGTTATTAGAAGAAACCTGAGTGCTCTCATATCTTGCTGTGATTATATTCACTGCCCCTCTTTACAGCTCTAGTTACTTCAGCTCAGTTTATGCATATGAAATATCTAATGAAATATTGGCATGGACTTGAGGTGGTTGAGTTTATGTATTATGATACTGAATTTTAAAATGCTATCTCTTTGGTACTCTGTGCAACCTTGGAATAAGCTCTAAAATACACCTAAATGAAAGGTAGATTCAACAAGTGTAACAAAGAGCAGTGTTACCGTGACCGCAGGCAAGCATGCAAGGATGCCTAATGTGCTGTCTGACCAAGGTGGAAGTAGAGGCAGCAGCATTGAGACCTTGCAGACACCTGCCAGGTACTTGCAAGAGACCGACACTGCTAAATAAAAATGACTCAGACAGAGAATAATATAGAGCACCATATGTTGGTGCTTCTGATTAACTTAATTTTCATTGTATGAATCCTTAACTTTTCCTTTTATTGTGGGAATCAAGAGGGAAGGGCAGCCAGTCTCTGCCTGCAGAATCCTACCTGGCTCACTGTGTGACTTGGAAATAACCCCAAGTTTTCTGTATTTTGTTTCTGTGTGAGAATGACTTCTGTAGCAGCAGAACATAGGGCATGCTTGCCCCCCTGCTTCAGTGCAATGAAAGGATCAGCTGCTTCCAATTTGGTGAAATCCAGTCTCTGACAGCACACCCATTCTGCCTGCATTCTATTCATTTTAGTGGAAATGATGCAGTCTGAGTGCAAGGTTGTTCTCATTTATAAGTATTAGTTTAGGCAGGGTGAGTTTCCCAAGCAAAGGATGATTATGCAGAGAAGATAATTTGTGGTTCAGAAGTATTTACTGTCCAGCTACTCCAACTTTTTCAAATACATCATAATCTGCTTTATATTCATGTGTGCGAAAAAGAGAGTGCACTTATGGAATATTATGTTTTACTATTCCAGTGACAGTTTAACTTAGAAGAAGTGATCACAAGTAGACACTCATGAACACTCATCACTTTCCAGCTAATACCACACTGTTTGCAAATGGAACAGGAGAAAATCTCTGCATCTTGAAGGCTCTGACAGGTAACTGTGAAGAAGTTTGTAACAGCCCTTGGAGCTGCAATGAAGGGCAGCTTTCCCTGCTTTTTCATTCTGAAAGGCAGGCAGTGGCTCTTCCTTGCTCACTAATGGACAGTGCTGATCAGCACAGCATCTTCCTATTCACGTCAGACCTTTTGTTTTCAAGGACCACACGTTTCTTTTCTAACACGTTTTCTTATTTCTGTTGTAACTGCTGCATCTTCTTTGAGCTCCTGGGCACTACAAGACATGTCCTAGATGTTGAATCTTGTCATTTTTGATAAATCTGTGAAGCACAGAGCTCAGCTGAAACTGCAGCTCAACATCCTGAAGTGCCAGTTTAATCTATTTCTAGCATTGGAAAGAAAGGGGGGAGAACCAGAAAACCTCACAGCTTTCTACCAGTAATAACAATGGGAACAAACTGGCTTTCAGAAAATAATTTAATCCCTGGAGTATTGGAGATGGCCTTTGAGTATTGTGTTTAAAAGAGCCTAGTAGGGGAAGTGTCCTGTTGCTGTGGCTTGTATTAAAAAAAACTCACACAACTAAACCTTTTTCCTATAAAAGTTCATTAAAGTGCAGTTTTCTTTTACAGTTTTCCAGGCTGAAACTGCAAGTGGAACAGCCTTCTCTTTGAAATCCTGAGGATTTTTTTTTGCCTTAGCATCATTGGATCACTTCTTGGGTATGTGCCCTTCATATATTGTTTTGTCTGAGCTTGAGATCTGGAGGGGTTGAGTATTAATCATTATGGTGGAGCGGATAATGGGACTTCTTTTAAGATATGATTGATTACTCACCAGGAGGGCTAGAGGAAGCTTTTAAAGACAAAGATGGGTGCTGGCTAACCTGTTTGCCATTGGAAAGCCAGCAAAATTAGGTCTTTATGTCACAGAATTTGAAATTTCCCTCTGGATTCACCAGATTAGGAAGACAAATTTCACCATTGTTTTCATAATTCCATCTGGGTTAAGACAGTTGCCATCCCAATTAAATGTCAGACAAATGCCACAGAAGATGAGAATTAAAGTTTGGATGCCATGTCTGCCTGGTTCTCAGGATCAAACAGTTAATTTCCTCACAGATGCTAATCAGCAGCTTCACTGGCTCTGAATGGGCTCCAGCTCTCCAAGAGGCTGTGGACAGAGTTTCTGGATGTCTCCATGGGCTGATGGTAGACAGGTGTGCCTGCAGTAAAGTGGTGAAACCTAGCCTTCTGTTCCAGCCTGCTCTCTTTCTCAGTCCAGCTAATCTCATGCTTATTATAGGCTGTTTGAGATGTTGCAGGATAAGCCACTTCTTTTCACATATTTTCATTTGTAAATTCACTCTGTGCCTGGACATCTCTTTTGTGTGTGTGTTTGGAAATCAGTGGTTCAATTTAAAACTATTCAGTATGATGTCTGGTCAAGGTTCATGCCCTCCAGCCTTGTTTTAATGCTTGAGTTGCTTTAGGTTTCTCTCCAAATACCATTAATTCTCTAGAAAAGCGGCAGGCATATCTGTAATTATATAGACTATACAGAAGTATATGTAAAGGTATCTGAGTGCATTAGGCCAGATATTAGGAATAAATAGGATGACCACCTGTTTAGCATTCAGCTTCACCTATCTAAACGATAATTTTCATTTGTACTGTGGTTGTGACATTTAAATCAATGCCCACAAAATAAAATTGCTTTGTTTAATAATCCTTTGTGCCAGGGTTATCAATAGTTCATTAGTCTTGCTTTGCATCTGTCGATAAGAAGTGCAGCTGAGAAGGAGAATGCTCAAGGAAAGGAGTATATTCTGTATGGGAAGATGTCTTCACTTTGGCCATCCTTTCTCTCCTTTTGATTGTAGGCTGCATGGTGTGGTTGCAATGTACTCATAGCTTTTTTTTCCTCTTGAAACATGGTAGAGACTGCTATAAGGTTTCATTTATTCCTGAAGAGCCAGAAGTGGCTCTTGAGTCCTGAGCTATATTCACACCATGAAAACACATGTGTGAGAAACTTCCACAACAGGATCAGTAATTATTTTAGCTGCCCTTTGGGTTTTGCCACTCATACAAAAGGCATTCATGCAAAGGCAAGTTGTCTCTTCCTAGCTAGAAACCAGTGTGCTTCTGAACAAGATGACAGCATGCTGCATGCTGACTAATGAGTGCCCCTTCTGGGCCACCTAGGTGCTCCTCACTCATTACCCTGGTTTATGTAGCTTGACATGAGAAATTGGATATTATCCCAGCAAGGTGGCATGGCTTCAGGCAATGATATTTTACTCACATAATCTTGCCAAGTTCATCTTAGCAGCATTTTATTTTCTGGTTCCTCTTGATCTGTATCACTGAACTCTATACAGAATGTGCTGGAGACACTTCTGAGTCAAAGTTGACCAAACAAAACTTCAGCACACCCTTGGTAATTTCAGCTTTTTATCAATTAATTGGAACTCCACATAGTTTGACAAGGAGGTCAACAAATAAATATGTCATTAGTTACATACCAAATAATTACTTTAATGGCTGCTAGGATGCTACTTGATTTCTTTCACCGTGATCATTACATAGTTGCAGCAAGTTTTACTAATAATCAGCATACATTGGTTTCACAGTTCATCAAACCAGTAGATGTTGACTGGTCATTACCAAGGTGTTTGAAAGACCCAATCTCTGCAGCAGTGATATACAGGACAGGAGCCTTGCCTGTGTGTATTTTCTTGGGTACAAATGGGATTTCTGGTCACAGAGGAACTTCTCATGGATACTTGGAGGTTGAGCTGAAAGGCACAGTAGCACAATTGTGCCCATTGTCCTTCAGCTGAGAAACCTCTGCAGGCCGGAGCCTGGGTAGATTGCTGCAGACTGGAGCTCCACCATGACCCTACGCTTACATTGTGAATCAGTTCAGCACATCTAAGAGAAGCAGAGAGTTTATGTAGCTCCATAAAGTGATTGCAAAGGCCTCCAGGGATAAGTAGAGTTCATTCTGAAAAAAAAAAAAACAGCTAAGTGAGACAAAACCCTCTGGCCTTCTGGTACTCTAGAAAAAAGGTTTTGAACATACACGTACCTTGTTAAGTAGACCCAGTGAAAAGTTTTGACTGGAAAACTATTTTGTCAGCATATTGTTTCAATGAATGTTTCATGAAAGCCTTTTGATTTCTTCAGATTTCTTGTTGAAAACATTGATCATGTAATTCTGGTGCAAGTCATTTCTTCTTCCAGTTTATTTTATTTCCTTTTCCATTTTGCCACAGGAAAAAGAACAGAAGATTGAAAAGTTATAATGTCTTCAGACTAATCCTATGCCCTTTATTTCACAATGTACTGCTGGAAATAAGAAATGGGGGGAAAGAGAAATCAAAAATGGGCAAAATGGAAAAAAAAATATTTTGCCATTTCCTCAAGACACATTTGCCTTTTTTGAAATCAGTTTTATTCGTATGTAAGTTACATAAGTGGTCTCATAACACTAGGCTACAGTTGAACAAAAAAGATTTGTATATAAAGAACTGAGTGATTTTAAACAGCTTCTTGTGTTACAGTATTTTCTATCAATATTTCATCAGAAGAAGTCAGTGCAGTGATTTACTTCGAGTCTTGCTTTGCTGATGCAGGTAAGCTGTGTCTGTTCAAGTGTCATTCTTCGATGGTTTTCTCTGCTGATAAAAGTTAGCAAAGAGAATGAAAAGGGACAAATGCTCATAGCTATCCAGACAAACAGGGAGAGAATGAAAGAATTGTGGTTCTTTTTGAAATGATATCTCTTTCCTCCTGGCTGCAGGAGTCCCACAAGCTGTGTGTTTCCACGATTTATGTGCCTACCGACTTCTGAGGTGCACCTCCATGGGGAAATATTGCCCATGACCTTCTCCTGCAATTGCCTGCTTTGAATGTGGCAGTGAAAAGTAGTTCCATTAGCAGGTGATGTACTGGGTTTATGGAGAATGCTTGAAAATCTGTATTCATGAGAATGATTGGAAATTTCTAATATTTTCTTTGCTCCAGGCTAAATGCAGATGTTATTCAGAAAGACTGTCAAGTAGAGTCATCTTAAATTGAGCTTTTCTCAACTTTCAATAAAAATAAAAACCCTCCAGTGTCCTCACCCCACCAAAATAACCAGTGATGTCTCCAGGGCTGCAGTGTAACTCCATATGGCAGCAACTGCAGCAGCAGGCAAGACTAAGCAGTGGGAAAACAGGTCAGTTAGAAGGCAAGAGGATATTTGGCACTGTCTGCTGCTTGTGAAGCTCTTCCAAAACCTGACTATAGCTGTGACTGTCACACTGTGTTTGAAGACCAGATCCAAGAAATGACTTGGGGCCCATCTGTGTTGCCAAATAACTTCACTCTGTTATTTGCTCCTGGTCTTTGCTGTCTGACTGTCCATGCTAGATGTTGTTTTGAAGTGAGCCAGCTAGCTAGTTCCCTCCAAGAGGAAACTCTCCAGGGCTGCTGTCACAGATGCAGTGTGTATTCTTATCATCATGCTGTCTCACAGCTCTGATGAGCTGTGAAACATCTCTGGTATCACCTCAGCTATCTTGGACCAACGTTGTCATTCTGCCATAGCATTACTTTAAGAGTCCCAGTGGATGTGCAATGCGGATGTGGCCATCACCTTCAAGAGGGAACTAGTCCCCAGTCACGCCCTCAAATCCTGTAGGCCAAAGAGGGAAGAAATTGTTCAAGATTGGGTTGATGAGTGCACACCAGGGGGGTTTTGCTCTGACTGCGGCATTGCTGTGCCCATCATAGAGAGTCATCTGGGTTGTGAGTAACACACACAATTTTAGTAACAATTTAAAATTTAGAGCATACTGTGAAGGTAACTTCATATGTGAATCCACAGCTATATTACTTTTTCCTAGTTTTATTAGCAAATACATCCTTTCTACTGTTTTGTCTCATGATTTATTTTTGAATGTGTTATAAATAGCCAATGCTTTAGATTGGGTCAGTTCCCTAGGCAAATAAGCGTATCCCACTTAAATACTAGAGGTTAAATTCTTCCCATTGCATTTTTAGAAACCTTATTATAATGTAAATTTATTTTGTCAAATGACCAGTAACTAATTTTACAGAAGACGTTAAAGAGAGTAAACTCTAAACTCTCTGCTCTGACTTGGACCTTGACATTAAAAGTGTAAGACTTGAGTGTACTGGGCTTTCAAAGGTATGTTAAGTGTTGGCTGAGCAATGTGTCATGGTGAAAGAGGTGGCAGGGCAGGGGAGAGAGGTCTGAGCTTCCTTCAGACCAGCCAGAAAAGTAGCCAGGAGCAGTCCAGCCACACCACTGCCAAGCATAGCATAGGCTGATTTCCCTCATCAGAAGCTGGTCAACGCACCTTGCTGGTACAGAGCCTTTCTTCTTGTGCTTCTAGTCCTACTAAGGTTATGAAGAGGGAGAAAGACAAAGTATGAGGGATGTGTGTCATTATGTGGCAATTCTGTTGTTTTATCCAGAAATGCTAACTGACAGCTAGTCATACAGCACAAGCCAGTGTGTGTGTTCATCTCTGCCATCTGTTGTGGTTGCCCTCTTCCCTGCCTACTCCTGATAGAAGAATTATCTTTTTTTTTCCATCCTGCTGAGCTTCCTGGACAACTGATGTCCCTTCTGCCAATGCTGGACCCATGTCACAGGGCTGCTGAGAAGACGTGACCTGGAGGAGATGGGTATAAATGCTTACCTCCCTGCAAGCTACCCACCCACTGACACTGGTTTAGCTCCTCATTTGGAAATCCCTCTTGATTTTAATAAAGAAACCAAAATGCAATGAGTTTTGGAGAAACTGGCATCTGTCTTATGTGCTGGAGAGGCAAAATCCTTCTTCTCACTGGATGGGGGAGCTGGACTCCAGAGTTCACAGCAGTAGCCTCTTTCATACTGATGATGTATGTAATGTAATTTACTCCTTTCCCATAATGAAAAGTGTTGATGCAGGTGAAAAACAGCCTTCAACCTATTTTGACCCTGTGTAAGGTCGAAAGAAAAGCTTAACTAATTTAACACTGCCTTTTTTTTGGAAGGATGCAATTCATACTTTGGTTTAACAATCCAACGTAGAAGAAAACAGCATGACTCGAGCCAAGAAGAAGAGCAGAGAGAGTGAATAACGACAGCACAGATCAGCAGTACAGAAGCAGGCTGCTGTAGCACCTGTACAGAAAGCCTGAGGCCAGCCAGAAAAGTGGCAGAAAGATTGCTGT